TCTCTACTACCAGATGCTAAGTTGTTTCCATCAGGAGAGAAACTTACTGAGTAAATATAATCATCATGACCATCTATTTTGTGTTGTTATTATCCTGTTTTAATATCCCATAGACGAATTGAGCGATCTCGACTAACAGATGCTAAGGTGTTTCCATCAGGAGAGAAACATACTTAGTTGACATCATTAGTATGACATATCAATCTGGCTTTTTTTTTCTTGGTCTTAACATCCCATAGTCTGATATATTTATCATTACTACCAGATGCTAAAGTATTTCCATCCGGAGAGAAACAAATTGATCTAATATCATCAATATGACCTTCTAATTTGGCTTTTTATTATCCTGTTTTTATATCCCATAGACGAATAGACTAATCTTAACTACCTGAAGCTAATGTATTACCATCTGGAGAAAAACAGACCGACTTGACTGAATTTTTATGACCATTAAATTAGTTTATTTCATGAATTCTTAAGTTGTTCCATTTACAATTAAATAAGAAAGCTCCATTTAAATTTATCCCACTAATATTAACATTATTAAATTCAGATCCGCTTAAATTACACCGAACAAAATTAGCTCCAACTAAAGAAGTATTTTAGATCTTAATATTTTCTAAATTTTTGTTTCTAAGGTCAACTTTCATTTAAACTAATAAATTTAATGAATTTGACCCACATTAAATGAATGTGTCATCTATGGCTGTGAGCCTGACCAAAAATTACAAAATTTCTATGATCTTTATATCATCCTTTATGCTTTTAATTAAATCTTGTATCGATTCTTAATTTTCATAAGTGGATTAGTCTTTGTTATTGAAATGATGATCTTTTAATTTTTTTAATAAATCAGCAATTTGTTTCATGTTTTTTCTTATGTCATACTATTTTTATTAACTATCATCATATATTTAATTCTCTCCATGTTGTAAGATTTATTTTTCGATATGCATATAATTTCCATCATCTAAAAGATATCCAATGCAATCATTAACTTTTTTCGATTGAAATATTTCTAATAGGGCTGCATATATTTTTTCATCTATATCTTTAGCTTAAGTAAAAATCTCAGATAGATCTTCTTATTTTCCATTGGTGCTAATCATTTTCTTTTTTTTTTAATTTTGAATTTCTATTACTCTTACTTTTAATATTATACTACAAATCAATAAAGTGCCTTATTTATCTTCGCTAATTTCAATTTCTAACTTACTCTAGAATTTGAATTGATTATATTTGAGGGAAAATTTGTTATTTAGAA